CCTAGAATCCAGGCAGCACGTTTCGTCTTATTTGGGACTCATCAGCTGGATGTACCTGCATCCCAGAGTTGATGATCACTCCGGGACTCAAACAAAGTACCTTTCGCTTCAAATGCCATTACATTATCCACTTAGCTATTGAGTCTTGATAGCCACTTGCTTGTACAAACTTTTGAACAGTTTTAATTCTTCCGTATTTCAGTCTTTTAATATTATTGTGTGCTAATGAAAGCGAACACAGGTGACGACAACTGAATGTAGTTGAATACAACATTACATAATAAATCGTTAGAATCTGAGAATCATACAGTGAATACTTCATTCGCAAAATGTCTATGTATTATCTCAGGCTTTGATGTTCTTTCGTTTACATATCAACCACTCTCTGTTCTCGTCCTTTTCTCTTTGATCTTCTTAGTTGTCTGTCATCAGACATTTCACTTTCGATTGATGATACGTACTACTTATATCTGTCGATATCAGTAACACACACCACACTATTTCCACATGTGTGTAGACTTGTTCCATTTTAATTGATTAACAATACGGTTTTGGGTTTGTTACAATATTTGTTCTTTCTTTACGAATAAAGTTCACTTCACTGGATGAACTGATTCACCATTCATTTTATTGCTTATTACTTCATTTAATTCTACTATGCACAAAAAATAACGTTCAAACACGATTTTCGTATGTGTGGGCTGTGATACTCCCCAGGTTTCCAGACGGAACAGGTGGTTTTCCTAGAGGACTACTTCCAGAGCCTTCGAACTAAAGGTCTGATCCATAAGAGTCAGTGGAGTAACGTCAGGTTCATGTACCATTTATTCCTTCAGTATCTTGTAGTTCATGTTTACCATTAGTTTGAAATTCGAGTTTTCCAACTCCCCTTGATGGATCCTACATATCCATCAACCCGGTTAAAGCTCCGGACATTCGTTTATCGTTGACATTAACATATATACAAATGGTTTATTTTAGCCATTCTAACAATCCTTACGTGGCGGTCTCTTTTCAACAAATATATAAGTCTGTTGTGAGATATAAATTCACTGAAGACAATGGTGTACGGTGGCGCAAATTCGTGGATTGTTTGAAGTTAGACATTAACACCGTTGGATGCTTGCCAACTCAGTGGTTCGATGGTTAGGCGCTCGCGCACGAGACTGCTAGAGAAGATCTACAAATTCTGAAAATAATAACAGAATTCATTCCAGCAGTTTACAAGCACGGTCAGCTTCATGTAAATAGTAACATTAAATGTGGAGAAAACACAAGTGATATAGGATTTTTCTAAAATGGTTTAGGCAGTACATGTATGACATGTAATACAGTAAGGAAATTCATCGACCAGGAACTTCTAAAGTGTCATCCTGTATTAATGTAAGTTAGCAGCAGGTAAGTGATTCAATTCAGTGGATTCTACAATAAGAATGGCTGGACATTTAAAGTTCCTGTAACCTAAATTGTGGAATAAGACACACTTACAGGTGCTAGAACATTTGATGCATCAATGTAGCGAACAAGGGATTGAAGGGATTTTAGCAAATTATTCCAGATGATGGAAATTTACAGGTCAAGTAATTTATGTACGGAGATGATTTTGGATGAGTTTGCTTCACTATTGACAAGGAGTTACGGATAATGCAATCAGAAAATTCTGCATATTCAATTACTTGACTGGATGTAGAGGATAGTTTATTAGGTATTCTGAGAAAAGAAATTACGAATCCTTCTATTCAGTTGAAGGATATTATCATTATCTTATAGAAATACAGTTAGTAACTGGTAGTAAATTTAAAAACGGTTTCTACTGACTTACTATATACTGAGAAATGGTCTTTACTTTCTTATCAGTTTTAGACATCACTTGGAAGAATATTCTCAAGAAGTTTTATAGACAAAATCAAATTGACTTGCTAGATACCAGTTCAGTAATTTAAAGGGGCGCGAGATAGATCTTGTGTTCGAGTCCCACGAGAGGGATGTCGGATATACACTTCTGAGTATTAATATATTCAAACACATAAAGATTGATACAATTAAGCAACAAATACATATGCACCATATAAATCAATCGATTTGCACGTTTCCCCACATTCAAGCAGGTGGTTTTCTTAGGGGACAATATCCCGAGCCTTCTATCTAAAAGGTCTGATCCACAAATTAGTCGATCAACGTTAGAAGATGCAGTCTCATGGTAGCCGTGGACCAACTGTAAGTTCGTACATCATTTATTCCCTTAGGATCCTGTAGCCTATGTGCATCGGTTTTGAATCTGGGTTTTCCAACTCCCCTAGATGAATTCCTCATATACATGAACCCGGTGTTAAAGCACCGGACATTCACTTTTCGTCCTCTCAATTTCGAAAATAAAACCCCCACCGTGAGAAGACAGTGAGTGAAACATTCCTGATAGTGGCTGTATATGCGTGGCCATTTGCGAGCATTTCTAGAAAGTGAGCGCTGACTCTCTTCACTCTCCGCCGTACCAGGGAATAAGCCAGTTTAGACGAAATGGCCGTCCAATGTTTCCAGGCTTTCCATTGTGGTCTAGTTTAACTGACTCATGAATTCAACTATTTTTGTTTCATACACTGACTCATGAGTCTATGTAAATGCATGATACCAATTCCTTTTATGGATACCATTTTTCGAAAGATATAAGGTGTTCACAATATAAAAACTCGTTAGGTCACATGATTGCCCATTGATATTCATGAGGACTGATGATAATACTTTAAAGACTAATAATCTTGATATGAAATGATGTTATATCATAAAAGTCTGGATCAAATTTATTCACTGACCTGAAATCACCCTATTTATTAAAGCTAATCAATAAGACAAGATTATTATCCTCAGAAGAAATTAGACTACACAAAAAGAAAAAAAAAGTATTCAGGCATGAATCAAATCATCACAACAAGAGTATTAACTTATAGCCTTTGATGTTCTGTCATGGTTACAGTCATAAGAGATTATAATGTTGTCACGCAAATGTTTTTAATGTTACGTTACGGATTAACTTTAGTTATTCTAATTCACCAAATAAATGATTTATTTATGTGCTGGATATCGACCATATATGAAAACGTCCTTAAATGCTCTGATGCGGTTTAGAGTCGGGAGAGTCCGCTCTTATGCTTCAAATGCTCTCACATGGCCACGCGTATACAGCCTCTGCCAGGGAAGTCCTACGCACTGCCTTCTCGTGGCATCACTGTTGTTTACGAAATTGAGACGACGGGAAGAGAATGCCCAGCGCTTCAACCGGGTTGGTGGGCAGACAGATTCCACCCATGGGAGTTGGAAAACCCTGATTCACAACCAATGATGCACATGGGCTCCAGTATCCTGAAGCAACAAATGGCTAATGAACCAATCGTTTGTCACCTACTACCATGAGACTGCATCTCCTGATGTTGCTCCACTGCCTTGTGGATTAGACCTTTAGGTCAAAGGCTCCAGGTGTGACTCCCTAAGAAAAACCACCCACTTCGGTCTGGAGAGCCGGGCAGTATCACAGCTCACACACAAATCAAGTGACTTGTGTGTCTCATATGTATTCGGTGCCTCTTTTCTACCAATATTTGTGTTCAAATAAATAAATGTATATAAGCATACTGAGTTTCACAGGGTCACTTTCTTATTATATTGCTTATGTAATAACACGTTGAAATAGTCTAACAATAACACCGAATGGATGTACATCGAACCGTCGTACATCATGTATATTGATTATATTTCAACATTAGAAATCTGTATGAAATAATGAATTTGGGACGGACTTATCCAATGATCGATATAGAAAATTTTTTTATTGAAGGAAATATACAAGATTCAACATGTTCATATAACTCAATTGACCTCTTTGACAAAGAAAATTAATGAAGGTCATAATAATGTCCAAGTAGTGGATAACAAGTGAATACGTTTATTTATTCAATAACTTATTGGTTTACAAATAAAATTTGGCACACATTACTGTACTTTACAGAAAATAGGCCCTATTGTTTATTAAATTCTTCAAAAAAAATTTATAACCATAGTGGAATAAGTCAATTACAACGTACTGGGTTTGAACCCCACGGTAAAGATCAACTCTGGAATGCAGAGTGATCCAGATGAAAAGTCCTAAATAGAATAAAACACGTGTGGTGGATTCCACTGCTTTCATTGTTACTCATAAATATAACAAAAGGAATACAAATATACTTAATGGTAACTTCTGTCATCTGTACACTACCATATTTCATTAGTTAATGGTATAGATTTGAATCAATCAATTGGTTAGCTACAACGTAGATCCAGGCACACATGAGCATCGGCTTAATTTGCCACAGCTCATTAGCACAAGATGTATACCGAGTTCATAGTAGTTACTTCAATGATAGCAATATATATAATAAGCAAGATTGCATATAAGGATATAATACAAGGAGAAAGAGTTAGTTGATAGAAAAGTAAAAAGGAATTTTAATCACGGTGTACACACCTACACCACTGTGATCGATTCCGAACGATGTCACAGTCACCAATCATTGCTTATGATAGTCACACGGACCCCAACCAAATAATTTGCATGTACCAACAAGACTAAGACCAGAAGTTAGTGAATTTATGAACTGATAATACGTTTTGATTTGGTCACCCTTAAATTGCTTCCAACCATCCTCAACACTAGTCAACATGGTGGGTCGTAGTACATAACACGTGACCATATACATTGTCAAGTGATATGATTGTAAAGCACAGAATATAAAACTATTACGCTGAGCTCCCGATTTTGGGGAAAATTTGACCCATTTATGGGAAGCCCCTATAGTAAACTCTGAGATGGCACCGAAATTCCCCTTTAACCTTGGTGAAATTCCACCAAACCTAGGAGATTGGGTACGATATCATATTAATGGTAATATCGACGTCATTTACTCAGTTCATCGTTATCAAATGCACACACATCTCATCAATACAATACGGTCAAGAATATCAACGCATTAAAAGACTAATGTTTATTTATAAAAATAGTATGACATAAAAATATCCTTATCAAAATGTGTTTCTATTAAAAAAAATAAGATGGATAGATCACAAGTAAACAAAATGGGAACATTAAAAAGATAAAGAAGAGATAAGAACAACAACAATGACAACAACAACAACAACCTGGAACTTATGATGGACTTGACAACAATACAAAAATAAAGTATTATACCGGTGTTATTATTATTATTATTATTATTATTAATATAAATGAATAAGTCTATCCATTAAAACACCATAAACATAGAGGTAGTATTAATGAGAAATTAAAAATCAATTCAAATCGAGCACAATTATCGATCTGTGAATCAATATCATAATAATAATGATTAAAAGAAATCCGATCTACAATGATCCCTGGAACAGGTTGTTTACTTGAATAACAAATACAAAACGTGTGTGGGGGGGAGGGTCTGTGTATATAAGTAGTCACAATAATACTGATATAAAAAATAAGTAGTAAAGATTTGAAAATTACAGAATGAACGAAATCTATTTAAATAAATATTAATTTTATCATCTTAAATAATAATAATAATAACAGAAAGGTATATATATATATAAATGTTCCTTAAAGGATAAACAAAGCAAAAACCCCTTGGCAACAAGGAAAAACAAAACAATATATTAATTAAGTTTTTAAATTTTAAATAGTAACTCGCCTTAAATTTGAACATAATGACATTGTATCCATATGACTATTACTATTACTACTAATAGTACTAATAGTACTATCATCTTGTATAAAATGATCAATATCCCAATAACTCGTAGCTGTTCTATTCAGATTATGATTAATATGGTTCTCAGTTGTTACTGTTGCTGTTGTGGTGTTGGTGATGGTTGTTGTGATTTGTGGTGGTGTAAAATGTAAAAAATAACAATTACTACCAAATGGACAATGACCATTATTAGCATAATTAATACATATTCTAGTACGATATTTTGGATGAAATTGTGGATATTTTAATTCATCTGGACCATGAGCAAAATGACAATTATCACCAAGTGGACAATGTTTATATTTTTGATAATGTAAACATGGTTGCGTTTTATATCTTGCATTATAAATAGCATCTTGTTTACGTGGTATTGGATAACGCATATGTACTTGCATTGGTCTATGTGTATTAGTCAGAGATTGTAATTCATTAGAACTAGTGACTGTCTTTGAAGTAATCACAATACTATTTGATGATAATGATGATGTTAGATAATGTTCATCATTTTCTTTTTGTCTTAATAATGGTCTTGGTCGTAATTTCGTCATTTTTGGTATCTTCTTCATTGATTGATTCATTTCTAAACTTGTATCAAGACTTGTTGGGGTTATTGTTGTTGAACATTTTGGGAAATATATTGAATCATTCATTAATATATTCGCTTGACATGTACATACAGCTGATATTTTCGTTAGATTCGGTATATGATTTTCATTATTCTCTTGATCATAATATGTTTTCCATGTTTTATTTATAATCATCTTTAAATGATCTGGTAAATGAGTAAATTCATTTGTGGATTGAATCAAATTTGGATCTATGGATTCTATAGTTTGCCTGGAATAGAACTGATCCGTATTGCATAATTTATGACGTAATAATCGATCCTCTTGTGAATCATTCTTATTATTCGTAGTAGTATTAAATAACTCATGTAATGGGGATCTTGTTGTTGTTGTTGTTGCTTTGCCAATATTCAATTTAGTTTCCATGTCGGTTAAATATTTAAGGACATCATGAGTTTCAAATACCATTCTGATCAAAGGAGGATGTTTTTTTTTAATTTTTTAAAAAAAAACAAATAAAATAATGATAAAAATAAAAAATAAATTAAGTTTTGTGTGTCTTGAGGGAATCAAAAGGGTTTTATCCCAATTCAGATTTTTGACTACTTTTTATGATTGATAAATAGTTGTCACTATTGGGATATCAAGGTCAACTGTTGATGAAATGAACCAATCAGAATGATTAGATAAATGAAATGATCTCGTTCCTATATCATGATTGATTCATTCCCTTAATTCACCCCCTTTCGTCTTCTTCTTCTTCTAATAATACTACTAATAATAATACTTAATTTAGTTATAATTAATCCTTATCCTAATCACCACCATCACCCCCATCATGATCATCATCAAATGCTGTGTTTTTATTGGTTATTGAATTTTTAAAAATTATCATTAATATAGGGGGGTAAGAGAGAGTATGAATATATTTTACAATGAAATGATGATGAATGCCGATGATTCACATAAGTAATTGACATTCGATACAACTAATATCATCCTCATCCTGATCATCATCATCATCATCATCACCATCACCATTGTCGTCATCATAAGGGGAATGGGGATATGAAAACAAAACAAAAAAAAACAAAAAAAATCTTTTATTGATATCCAATGATTATGTAATTGTTTTGATAAGATTCAATGTTATGGGATATAAAGGAAAAATTTTTGTCTTTAGATAAGATAAGATAATGGACAGTAGTTGTTTTCCCCTAAATAAACGACAGTTATCTAATCCGATTTGAATTCAAGTTTAAGGTTTGTAACTTAAATAGAAATGTCGAAATGATTATCTATCCAACCTAAAAACTAGGTAGGTTAATCGTCTTTATCAGAATATGCTTTCCTTGGGGTATACTGTGTTTGTGTGTCTATGTCTATATGTAATATTATGAATCGTCATGACTTGATGAAACCTATCTTATTGCATAATCAGTTATCTAAACTTCATTTCAGTCGATAACTTATCTTTAAACCCTTGCGTAAACATGACAAATTGAAATTCTTTTACAAAAGATTTTCATCATTTCAATAGATTCGTTTTGTATTAATTGAAAGTGAGATCAACTTTTGGAAAAATTGAAAGACATTGGATATAATTGTTTCGTCTCAGTCTAAAACTCTTTTAGATCGTTTAAAGTGAACAATATTGGGTTCAAGTCCCTGAGCGATTATCAACTCTAAGATGCAGTTACATTCAGCTGACGAGTCCTAAATAAGACTGTTAGTCACTATCCATCTTTGTGTATAATGTCTAAACATGGTCAGTATCGCGTTCATTATGTTAAGATGTTAATTGATTGGAAGCAGTTATTTGTAAATATCTCGATCGAACAATATGTCAGTCGCAGCAACAATAACTAGGCGTAGGTATCTTCAATGGTGAAGCTGAGTACTTACTAACTTACGCCTGTTACTCCTCGCGAAGCAGCATAGGTCACTCACCAGCATTCTCCATCCAACCCTGTCATGCGCAATTCTTTCAAACTCTTTCCAGTTGATATTCATCCTTTTCATATCTGCTTCTATTTCCCGATGTAATATGTTCTTTGGCCTTCCTCATTTCTGCTTCCCTTCAGGATTCCAAGTTGGGGCTTGCCTCGTGATGCAGTTTGACAATTTCCTCAATGTATGTCCTATCCATCTTCAGTGTCTTTTCTTAAATCTCTCTGCAGTCCGGAGCTGATTTGTTCTCTCCCACAGTAGGCTGTTGTTGATGGAATTCGGGTGACGGACATTGAGTGTCTTGTGTAGACAACTGTTCATAAATACTTGTGACATTTTGGTGATGGTTGTAGTGGCTCTGCAAGTTTCAGCTCCGTACTATAGAACTAACTGTGTTGACATTCGTATTGAAGATTGTGACTTTGATATTGGTTTGCAGACGGTTGTTTTGAGTTGCACATGTTGTTCAACTGTAAGAAAGTTGTCCTTACTTTACGAATCCTCGCATTTACGTCTGCATTCGATCCTCCTTCTTCATCGGTGATGTTTTCCAGATAGTTGAAAGATTCCACATCTTCCAGAGTTTTGCCATCAAGTGTGATTGGGAAGTATCATTTCCTTCACGATTACAGGCACACTTTTCTGACGAGTACCAACTAGAACAAAACCTAAGTCGAGTATGTTTTATTCCCAACTATCTGAAATATGTGTGATTGAACTTAACTATGATAATTGAAAAATCATTGACAATAAGTAAACAATCAGATTTTACTGCTTATTCATCTTGGACGAAGTACTACGACAACTGCTAGTAATAATACTTGAATGCGTAAGTCATTAGGAGACTAATACACATTGAAATACATCAGCTTGAATCATAATATGTTTATTTAGACTGTTTATTATAATCACTTCAATACTTATTCTTTGGTTTTATTTCGCAGACTCGTGCATGCTAATTGCTTTGTAATAACATTTTAAATCACCAAAGTAGATGATTTATGTCAAATGATTGGAGGTTGACTCAAGTTATACGAGAATAGTGTGACGAACCAACTAGTTTCAAAGTCACACCTCGACGTCAGCAATCAACGTGGATTATTCCTTCGACGTATCAAAGCACTATGGCGACTTTGAAGTCCGCATAACACAAAGGACTTTATTATGAAAATATATTAGTAAGAATGAGTACTGAGAAGATAGCGAGACCACCACCGCATGCACCAGTCCATGGCATACGATTAACTGATGTGCGTTGGTTATCATTGACCTTGATGGGGATCGATGATCTGTTCGATATTCAGTGACCCAAACTGTCGGATGATTTGGCTCGGGCTCAGTGACATTTGACTAGCCCTGCATCATGTTGTAGCCAAGACCCAGTCCCCCTACTTTTCTCCAGGTTCACATCATGAAATAAACCTACTTCAACAACTAATGTAAACCAGAAAGTATTGGATAGCAGTTTCATCTTAATATGAAAATTTCGAAGGGTTATAAACTGGGTAACTAACTGAAGATCCAACTGAGTTGAAATCAAACGGTTTACAATTCTAAATCAATTTAATTTCCGATATCCTGGGACTATTACTTTCTGTGATTACTTCCATTGGTTATGTTATTTTTATTGTAACCAATCAATATTGACTAACTTACTGATGTCTTCATTGTTAACTCAAACTAAAAACAAATATCACATGGTGTTTTGCGAAGATTTTAGTAGTTTTATAGTTCAGTTCATGAGCCAATTGATGCTAGACCTCTATGGAAAACCTGGAAGCACTGGACAACTGTTTCGTCCTATTATGGGACACCTCAGCAACCGGATCAGTTGTGAGATAGTAACTCGCTGAGGACAATGGTGGACGGTGGCTCAGTTTCGTGGATTAGTTGAAGTTAGACATTAACACCGTCGGATGCCAGCTCATTGGTCTAGAGGTTAAGTGTTCGTGCACGAGACCGAAGGTTTTGGGTCTGACTCTAGTGGATGCGCACTGCTAAGTAGTTTCTTACCAGGACGAAAAAGCCGTCCAATGCTTTAAGGTTTTCCATGGTGGTCTAACTTCAATTGACTCATGAAATCAACTAGTAAATGAATGAATTCTTTAATACGTTTTAAACTTGCATTACAATGGTCAATGCGCCATACAAGTCACTTGATTTGTGTATGGGTTATGATACTGCCTGAGTGATTTTCTTAGGAGATCACATACGGAGCCTTCAACATAAAGGTCTAATCCACAATACAGTAGAACAACATCAGGAGATGTAGTCCCAATAATTGGTTCATACTCTATTCGTTCCTTCAGGATCCTGGAGTCCATATTTGGAATAAGAGTTTTCAAACTGCCCTATGTGGCTCCTCCATATCCATCAACCCGGTTAAAGCCTCCGATATTCGCTTATCATCCTGTCAATTTCGTAAACAACAGTAATTTCGTGAGAATGCAATGAGTAAGATTTCTCTTACAATGACCGTATATGCGTGCCTGTGTGAGAATATTTCGACAGATAGTGAGAAATAATACTCGTTACCCTCGGCTGTATCAGGACATTTGTGAGCATAGTGATTTTTATCCCAAACAAATCGTAGCATAATATTTTACATTAAAATCAATTAAAGTATCATATATATATAGATACATATTATTCCCTTAACTTATTATGAAAGGCTATTGACATGTCGATTGTAAATAAAGCTCACTATTATTACTAGTGGTGGTAGTAGTAATGGTGGTGTTGGTGGTGTTGGTGATGTTGGTGGTGGTATAGTACTGTTATTATTATTATTATTATTATTCTGTATCCTTTGCACTGTACAAAATAATCGATTGATTGGTTTAATGAGTACTATTCATATAGTTGATATTATCTCAAAATTTGATCGATAAAATGTAATCAATAATAGAATAGAACTCAAAAAAAGACCCAACTCAATATGAAAAAAAGTTGATGAGTAACTAACCCTGGAAAACAATATGAATATTTTATTCTATTGAATGTACTTGCATATTATATTTGAGATTCTAACTTAATACTATCAGTTTAAGGGTTGTGGAGATTGTTAAGTTTTTGATTGAGATCATGAACCGATTGATGTTAGACTATCATGGAAAACCTGGAAGCACTGAATAGTCGTTTCGTCCTATTGTGAGACTCCTCAACAGTGCTCATCCACGATCCCGCTCGTGGGATTCAAACTCATGACCTTCAGCCCCGCACGTGAACGCTTAACCTACTGGATCACTGAGCCGGCATACAATTGTGATAATGTCTTACTTTAACCAATCCATGAAATTGCGCGACCATCTTCCATTGTACTGAGGTAGATAGATACATGTCTCTATCCGACATGGATTAGCTCCATTGGTCATGGCTTCTATGCTATCATTTGTTTTAAGCACTAATGAGTAATTTATTTAACTTTTGTATGTTGTTAGACTGTATTGAAACGATAAACCCTGGGTTAAAGTCATGGGAAGAATATTAATTTCTTTATTCAGGTATATCTAGCTAATGAGTCCTAAGATGAAACGAAACCCCCTCTGAGTCTCACTCTTAGACACAATCTAACCCTGACCGTTAGTAATGTCAAGGTAATCCGCTAAGGATTTCCATTTCCCAAAAGACATTGATTATTTACAGTCGTCAACATAAAGAATGAGAAGATT